TGCTTTTTCTTCCTCTCTCTTTCTCTCTTTCTCCCTTAGGAGCCTGTGCAGTCTGAGCGGAGATCCAAGAGAGCTGTTGCCCAGGTGGGTCAGGTGGGTGCTCAGAGCGCCTACTCTGGCTTCAAAGCCGTTTGGCTTTTTGTTCATTCAGTAAAATTGGCTTCCTCCACCTCGTTTCATGTTTATGTGCAGCTTCAAGCAGGTGGCCAAGCAAGCAGCTGGCAAATTTGGTGATTCAAGCATCAGCCGTGCTTCAGCCAAAGGCATCACGAGTATTTTTGAGGTTTCCTCACACAATGTGGGAATTGGTTCAGACCTAAAAGGGATTGCTCTTTTCCATTTCAAGGGGTATCAAAGTATTTTGGGACCATTTGGGACCAAATCAGTGCCTTGTTTGTTTGTGAAATGAGAGACTATCCAAATCGATTGGAAAGGTGAGGCTCCCAGCACAGATATTTTTTTTTGGAGCAAAGGCCTTTTATTATGCCTTGCAGCAGAATTGCTTCCAAGTTCAGAGGCAAGAATCGTGCCCTTGGAATCACCAATAGTTTTAGCTCATCTAGGATATGTAATCAGGGCTGAAGATTCTGACCCATGGCTCCTAGCAGGCGCCCTGCAGGGCCTTGCGTCCTCATCTCTGGGCATTGGCTATGCAGCCTGTGCAGCAGCCCTCGGTGCTGCAGCTGCAGCGGCAGCCGAGGTGAATCCGGATTGCACTGCCGAGGAGGCCAGAATTTTGGCAAATGGATGTTCATTTAATGTTCATCCCCTAAATGATTGTATCACAGCTTTGACACCTTGAAGCCACAGTAGAAATCAGATTAAGTCAGTACAAGAGTGCCTTTGCAATTTGAACTGGACTGCTACAGGTCGCAGCCGCAGCAATGCTTGCTGTTGAAGAGATCCTTGGCTTGTCTGCCGGAAAAGCCTGAGGGCATTTGAGGGTCGCCTTCACAGGGGCCTTTTTGTAGCTTTTGAGAGAGCATGAAAGACGTGCCACTGGCACTTGCCACCGGCACTTGCTCTTGCACCCATTGCAGTCGATGCGGTGCCGATTCCCGCTCGTTCTTTAACTAATCAATTGCCTTCGGGCGCAATTCGTCTTTGCACTGTTCTTGCTGGCTCTTCACGAGTCACTGGGTAGGCTGCAACGCGATTTCAAAGACAAAGACTTGACGATTTTGCACCTATGATGCCCGTCCTAATCCTCATCTGCCATCAATCAGCTGGGTGTGTTCCTAGTTTGCTTCCATTGAATTCTGCTAGTGAGAAGTAGCTCAGGTGTGCAATTGCTACCATCACTATCTAATGAGATCAGGTGCTCGAGTGGACAGCCTGCAGTGATTGAAGGGTCCAGTGCAAGTGCAATCCTTGTTCTGCAGATCGGAATTGGTTTCCAACATGCAGTACGGGCATTTCTGCCTTTATTCTTGATGAACTACTGTAATTCGTTTGCGGCGAGAAGGGGTCCTTTTCCGGTGTTCCCTTTGGTTCTGCAGAACATGTGACGGCCAGCATCCCAATTCAAGATATGCCGGCTTGGCTGCGTACAGGTTTCAAGCAACAGATTCAAGCCTCGAATTCGCGCATCACGCACAGCTGGATCCATTCTGCAAGGTCTCTGATTTGTCATTTTTAGTTGCTCTTCTTGGTTGGCATATCGGCCATGATTGTGAAGACGGGACCCTGCAAGGACATTGCGCAACTTGCGATCTCTCCGCGAGTGCCCAAAAGATGCAAGTGACTAGTGTGACTTTGCAAAGCCAGGACATCAGGGTCTCCAGGGCCTAGCTTGGTGAGGCATTCTTGACTAAAGCATACCTGAAGCACGATGAATTCCCAAGATTTGACAGCCTATGAGGGGTGGTTTGCATGATCAGCCAGGTTTTGCATCACCTTTCATTTCACGTTTGTTGTTGGATTGGGCTTGAAGCTGCAAGCTGGCCTGGGAGCTTACATATTTGGTAGTTAAGCCCTTTGGCCACTGCGGCACACTCATGGCTGTGCAGAAGCAAAGGCGCGATTCTTCAGAAAAGGGACAGCTCTCGGAGCACATGAGCACATCTCATCTCGAGTTTCAATAGTCTATTTCAGATCCATTCTTTGCCGTTTTCATGATCTACGCCTTCCTCCAGCTTTTTGCGCAGGCCGCGAATGGACCTTGTTCCAAGCCAGGTGCAGCAACTGTCCAAGTGAGAGGGGATGAAGTGAACTCTGCGTATATCTCTGTCAATGGATTTTGACAAATGTGCTTAGTTCGGGTTTTTGTCCACAATGTATCACAATGTATCACAATGTATCACAATGTAAGATTCAATTTGACCCAGAGTGGCTGGATGTTGAAAGTTTAAAGCAATGCATCATAACAGCAGCTTCCTTTAATGCTGATGCTTGTTCTCCAAACCAAAGGGTGTCATAGTCATTGCAGTAGAGCTAAAGATCGCCTTAGCTGATGAATAGCTGCCAGGTGGCTCCAGCTGTGTGCGGACCCCAAAAGGTGGAGGGATAGGAGTGGAATGTAGAAAAATATAGTGGATATCGAAAAAAACCTGCGGAAAGCAGCATCTCTGAGGATGGACGATGCCTCTTTGCAGCTGGCTTCAAGCTGTGCGCAGGGCATGTCGGAGCAGGACAGCAATGAGACACAGGAACTCAAACATGAACGGCGCAGTGAAGAAGCGCTGGGCAGGATCTCTACAACCAGCTTGCTGCGTCGGGGTGGCAAACTCAAATTTGCATGGCAGTCTTCGGCCGAGGAATAGGGGCCAACAAAACGCGGCCATGTCCTGAAAGCAAGGTATGTTAGTTCGTTCCAATCTAGCATGGCTTCCTGATACGGACAATTTAGCAAGTAAATCTGGGAGACAACTTGAATGGAGAATTGTGTATTGTCTAACATGGCTCCTGCGGTTTGCTGTCGCGCTGAGGACCTCGCAGGCGGGTGGTTGACAGACCAACACAGAGACGGATTGCAACATTTGATGGAGATTGGATGGAGGAAGCTTTATTGACCTTCAATGGCTCTTCAAGCTTGGAATGTTTCACGGAATATGGCGCGAATATGATGCCAGTGCATGGAGTTGGCAACAAATCAATACAAGCCAATTCTCCAAGCTTTGTATATATTTCTTTCTTGCTGCAATTTCAGTTCTTTCTTTTCTTCCACTGAGTGACTGTGACTGACCAGATGGAAGTTTGGAGAAACACTGTGTCTGGAGCTTGGTGCAAACGGAGAAAAGGAAGTACCTGACAGACAAGGATAGAATGGGAGCACCTGCCTGGAGACTTTGTAGAGTAATGGTGATGACAAGAAAACGTTAAAAGCGATTGAAGCAGATACCTTGTGAAAAACGAGGATATGCACTATAGATCACTATAGCATGACCATGCAGGACCATTATATTTCGCTTTGCCGTGTTGGCTCAAACAGGCACCCTATCTCCTAGGCCATGACCGTGCCTTTAAGCTTCAGGGAACATGGGGTACCTTGGCAGACGAAACACACGAGGCTTTCTGCCTTCACTACTTTAGTATACTTTAGTATACTTTAGTGCCTATAGCCTATAGTTATATTGCGAGAAAACTGAAGAGTACTTACAGATCTTACAGTAAAGCCATTTTCTGCAATTTTCTTCCACTGAACCCAAGCTCTCATGCAGTTTGTGGCTGTTCCAGTGGTCTTGGGTATGAGCTCCCAACCAATGCCAAACCATTGGCTGCCTGGCAGCTGAGGATGCACATGGTGGGGCCATTGCAACCTCCGCTGAGATGTCCAAGAAATCCTGGAAGCGCTGGCGCTGTGCGGAGAGGTGCCATTTATGCCACATATCACCTGGTCTTCCACGTTACGAAATCAACAAGATAGCAATGGATGCATCAAAGTTTGATGAGCGTGTTCCCGTTTCTTGCTCTAGAAACAAATATGGACTAGTTCTGATGATGACACAACTGAAAACAGCAGACAGAAAGAAATGGGTTGCCGAGTTGCCGATTCTTTCTTTCCGCGCTGTTTGCTGTTCAAGAAACGACATGCTTCAAGACTGGGCTTGCAACGAATCTAGTACTCAGCAGACATGCAAACTTCAAACACACTGCAACCCGAAGATCAAACCTGCAGACTGCTTGAAAGTCTACTTTCCCCCATTTTCGGCACCTGACAGGAAGCTATCTTCTGCGCATGCATCGGTGCAGGGGCGTCTTGTTGGCCTCCTCAGTGGGCTTTGCAGTCCGTAGCCCAAGGATTGGTCATGCTATCGCTACAATGCACACGCTAGTTGCGCACAGAAAAGGATGACTTTGATGACTTTGAACATCAAAATCCGTATGTTCCGTTCCAGATGATTTTCTGCATCCTCAGGTGGTCATCGCACTCCAGCTGTGGCGGTCTCCAATTTGATCGCCCGTTGGGACCCTTGAAGACTGGTTCCGATAGGAAAAATGGGAAGGGGGGGGGTTGGGGCATGTTTTAGGATGACAGACACATAAACACAAACCCAAACTGCTTGTAGAAATCAGCGATGAATACCGTGGAAGTTGCTTGAGGTGGCAGCGGAGCGGCCGCTGACGTGCACACCCTACGAATGGTGCTGAATGTCCCTTGGATCAAAGCTCACATCCAAATCGCATGATTAGAGAGGGATAACCGGATAACAGAAGTCAGGTGCTTTGGACCACGAAGCTCAGTCCTGACTGCAGCATTTAGGAAGATGCCTAAAAAAATTGTCCTCTTAGCAAGCAGTATTGCCAGAATGCCTAGAACTTGCTCTGATGGCAACGAGATCTTTAGGTACATGTTCTGATGCAGGCACATGTTTCCATGGATGTGGCTCTGGTGAAGATTCCTTCCCAAAGGTTTGCCCGTGCTGACACCCAAAAATTCAAAAGCTCAATTTCTAGCAAAGATGCAGACTTTGCTGGATATGTTCGGATGTTGTACCTGCTGCTAGTTTTTTGATTTTCAGAATGTTTCTTCCATCAGGTTCTTGTTCATGAAGATACCAGTTGGCCCACTTACAAGATATGTGCCTGTAGAATGCCTCATTCTCCAAAAGAGGCTTTGACATGTGCAGTAGCAGAGTAGAAATTCTGAGTTGTGGACTGCCATTATTTTTCGATGCACTTGCTCCTGCTTTAAGTGTAGCAACAAAAGCAGGTTACTGAAATCTGCAGTGACGCCGAGGATTCGGACCTATGGGAAGCACCAGAAAAAGATGGACCAACCATGGAGGCTTCTCCAAAGGCCAATGGCTTTGAAGCGATGATCGTTGACATTGCTAATTTACTTTACTTGGGGCTTACTCTGGAGCTTCCAAGGGATTCCTTTTCTACATTTGACCTTTGATGGAAGGTGTTCCCTTTGGCAGGTTTCTCCCACCTCCCCTTTGAGCTTGCAAAGTTTGGATAACTTCCGATCGTTCGACTCTCAGACAATGCATACAATATTTCTGCAGCTCCACAGACAAAATGGACAATTTGTGGGAAATAGGGTGGCATTGCCTGCAAGTATTTTGTGTCACTAGTGCAAGTCTGAATGTAGCAAGCCCTGCAGCTTGATTGCATGAAGAGCTGGTTGCAGCTTAAAACATTTAAGAACTTTGTGGAAGGATTGAGTCTCTTTCCACTCCTTTTTGAACGAGAGTCCATAGATCTTCCTCGTGACCAGGTCACCTCGTCGACTGGAGGCTGGCTTGTTGGAAAGAAGTTGGACATATCCGACCCTTCCTTGGCAATATATATTTATATATAATATATTTATATATGTATATATATAATATATATATAATATATAATATATATATATATATTATTTTTTTTCCAGCTCTTCTGCAACAGATTTACTCAGAGAGGGGATCTTCCAGGATGCAGCTCCACGGTTTTTGGGTCTGTCAGGAGATGCGGATCTCAACCGCTGGGCCCTGTACAGTTCATCTGGGCGACGAGGTTTCAACACCAAGGCCCAGTTGGTTTGCAATAAAAAAGTCTTTGAAACACCTCTAGATTTTCTTGAGATCGGTTGAGCGTGTTGATCCTTTTCCAATCCTTTTCCTTGGCAGATCCACAGTGTCCCTCTCGGACTCCGACTTTGGCCTGGCTGGCTGGCAGCTTGAGGCGCCCGGAAAGGCCTGAGGCCCGGACTTGTGCACAGGTTGGTGCTACAACAGCAAAGGCGTTATGGGGGTGATCATCAACCACCCTTCTTTCAGTGCTTTAAGGAACCTCTGGCATCTCAAATAGCTTGGGGCTAGAGGGCGTTTTCTCTTGAGCTTATTGGCTCCGGAGGTTTTTGGGATGTTACCATATTGCTGCATGGTTGGCTGAAATCTCAAGGGGTGTGCAGTGGTAACTCCCGCACATGGATACCCTTCAGTTGTCGCCATTTGAATCTGGACGTAGGAGGATCACATTTTGTTGCTCACGACACCTTGGTGAAGCCAATCCTTCGGTTGGCAGGCTATTCCTTTGCTCGATGCCTGGCAGGCGAAGAAAGGGGTTCTTTGCAATTCTATGTGCCGACAATTGTTTGTGAGTCTTTGAGAGATTGGATTGAAATTCTTCTGAGGGAAAGTCACTATGATGGTTGGGCAAACCCTTCTCCGCACTTATAAGGGGCTACGCCCCCTGCCGCCGACCCCTGGGAGAGAGGGGGAGTTGACACATACGTCACTTCCGGAACCTACAAGAAAACTATATGGGTACGAGTCAAAATACAAGGTATGGATCAAGGCGCCAAAGCTACACACGATCCATACCCCCCGATCCATACTTTGATCCATACCCTTGATCCATACCCCAGATCCATACCCCTTTCTCGTTGAAGAAAGACTGATGCTGGCCTTAACGATGCTTTTTATCCTAATATATACTGCTTCTGGTCGTCGTACTGCTACTCCCATCGCTACTACCGTTGCTTCTACTGCTGCCTCCACTGCCTCCACTGCCTCCGCTGCTGCTGCCGCCGCCACTACTAGTGATTATCCTCCCAGGAGCTGCTGCTACTGCTCCTGCTGGTCGTGCTCTCGCTGCTGGTGCTGGCTCACGTTCTCCGTGTGCTTCGGTTGTTGGACAAATGTAACTAGTTGACTAGCTACTCGCAATATTGCAAGTGCACCTTGGAGGCTTGTAAGACCGGTTCTACTTCCACTAGGTGCTTATTGTACTTCTAGTGGTGCAGCGGTCCTCCAAGAAAAGCCGAATCTGACGGCCGAGAAATTGCAGTGGTTGCAGCGACACGACAAGGAATGCGGTGGGCTGTATGGCGTCTTGCCGCTGTGCGTGGGCATGCCTGCATGTTCGGGCCACAGACAACCTAGACCGCAAGCGTGGAATCCTGAAAGGCACCAAGGGCTATGTAGTCGGTTGGTCTGCGATTGCCGATGCGACACCTGCACCCGAAGGAATGGTGTGCAACAACCTGCCGGCCGTGGTATACGTGAAGTTTGACCCCGCCACGTCGTGGCAAATATCCGGTGTCCCGGACGCAAACGTCTACCCAGTTGTGACCTGTAGACGCGTGTGGTACTTGGACCGGCAACGTCGAAGCCCCAAGCTCCGTGTCTCACGCACACAATTCCCGCTGGCGCCGCAGTTTGCTATCACAGCGCATGTCGCACAAGGCCAAACCATCAAGGAAGGCGTGACGACAGATCTTTGCATAGGGCCAAGGGGAAATCCATTTACCGTCTACGTCGCCGTTACCCGCGTGCAAGGCCGTGAGAAACTCCTGATTTTTCGACCTTTTGACGCCGCTCCATTCCAGAAAGGTATTGGTTTAGGGCGGGACCTGCTGCTCCGACATCTTCGCAGGGAACCGATCAATTGGCAGGACTTGCTGGCCAAATATTGTGAAGAACGCGCGTGTTCAACCTGCGCAGAGCGCAAGCCATCTACAGCTTTCACCGCTGGCCAGTGGAAGCGCGACGACAAAGATCGCGTTTGTCGCGAATGCACAAAGCATTACGCAGATGCCGGGACGCCATGGCAATGCAACGTGTGCAAGCTGTGGCATGTCGAGACCAATTTTCCGGAAAAGCACCGCCAACGGCAATGTAGTTTTTTCCGTGTGTGTTTGACATGTGAAATGAAGAAACCGTGTTTCAAATGTGGCGTTGCAAAACCGGAAGCCGAATTTGGACCGGCCGCATGGAAAGCTCGCAACGCGGACCGCCGCTGCTGCAGAGAATGTACCACCAAACAGCGGGGGTGTTGGCAATGTTCCCAGTGCAGCGAACGCAAGCCACGAGCAGAGTTCACAGCTTGGCAGCAAAGTCGGAAACATGCGCAGAATGGTACACAAGTATGCAATGCATGCACAGCCTTTGCCTTCGTGTGTCGTCTTGCTCATCGCACGAATCAACGCTTGGCCCGCTTGCGCCAACGCGAATCCCGTCAACGACACGAAGCAATCCTAGCAGACGTTTGCAAGGAGATTCAGAAAATCCACGAGGCTAGACAAACGTCGATGGGAACAGACGAAACCAGAACGGGTGTTGCCCATTCATCGACCCAGCAGCTTGCTGCGGAGCCCGACACAGCGACGCCACGGGTGTACACATACCTTTGCCCGCATTGCGCCAAATCTGTGCAAAGCACTGTGGCAACAGGGCAAGTCTATCACCGCCGCGGTGATGGCTGCGGCAAAAAATTTTGCGTTGCGAATGGCCTGCTTGCAGGCCGTACACTTGCGCACACATGTCCAACATGCGGCACAGTGGTGCATTCAACAAAAGCTTCCGGTCAAATTCAAATAACGCATCGCACGCCCAACGGAAAGCAGTGTCGCACCGACCGATGGCCCGTGCAGAACTGATCACAAACGGAGCCTTCACCAAACAACAGAACCCTGCGCGCTCGCCACGCCGAAACAGGAGGGCCCTGAAGGACAGACCGGGCCTGCAGGCCACCGCCCTCAGTGCCTAACGTCGCTTTCTGCACCTACAAGAAAAGTAACTCTCTTTGCTGTCTTCCAGCCGCCAAGGCTCAAACACGGCGCGCTCGCCACACCGAAACAGCAGGGCCCTGAGGGACGGACCGGGCCTGCGGGCCACGGCCCCCACTGCCTAACGTTGCTTTCTGAACCTACAAGAAAGCTAGCTGTCTGACCTGTCTTCCAGCCGCCAAAGCTCACACACGGCGCGATTGCCACGCCAAAACAACAGGATCCCGAGGGACGGACCGGGCCTGCGGGCCACGGCCGCCACGACCTGTCTTCCAGCCGGCAAGGCTCACACAGGGCGCGCTCGCCACACCGAAACAGCAGGGCCCTGAGGGACGGAAGGGGCCTGCGGGCCACGGCCCCCACTGCCTAACGTTGCTTTCTGAACCTACAAGAAAACTAGCTCTCTGACCTAAAACGGCGCCTCCGCCACAGCCAAACAGCAAGGCCCTGAGGGACGGACCGGGCCTACGGGCCACGGCCCCCAGTGCCGAACGTTGCTTTCTGCACCTACAAGAAAACTAACTCTCTTAGCTGTCTTCCAGCCGCCAAGGCTCAAACACGGCGCGCTCGCCACACCGAAACAGCAGGGCCCTGAGGAACGGACCGGGCCTGCGGGCCACGGCCCCCACTGCCTAACGTTGCTTTCTGAACCTACAAGAAAGCTAGCTGTCTGACCTGTCTTCCAGCCGCCAAAGCTCACACACGGCGCGATTGCCACGCCAAAACAGCATGCTGGGTCCTGAGGGACGGACCTGGCCTGTGGGCCACGGCCGCCACGACCTGTCTTCCAGCCGCCAAGGCTCACACAGGGCGCGCTCGCCACACCGAAACAGCAGGGCCCCGACGGACGGGGCCTGCGGGCCACGGCCCCCACTGCCTAACAATGCTTTCTGAACCTACAAGAAAAGTAGCTGTCTGACCACAGCCAAACAGCAGGGCCCTGAAGGACGGACCGGGCCTGCAGGCCACCGCCCTCAGTGCCTAACGTTGCTTTCTGAACCTACAAGAAAGGAAGCTGCCTGACCTGTCTTCCAGCCGCCAAAGCTCACACACGGCGCGATTGCCACGCCAAAACAGCACGGTCCTGAGGGACGGACCGGGCCTGCGGGCCACGGCCGCCACGACCTGTCTTCCAGCCGCCAAGGCTCACACAGGGCGCGCTCGCCACACCGAAACAGCAGGGCCCCGAGGGACGGACGGGGCCTGCGGGCCACGGCCTTCTGAACCTACAAGAAAAGCAACTCTCTTAGCTGTCTTCCAGCCGCCAAGGCTGCGCTCGCCACACCGAAACAGCAAGGCCCTGAGGGACGGACCGGGCCTGCGGGCCACGGCCCCCACTGCCTAACGTTGCTTTCTGAACCTACAAGAAAGCAAGCTACCTGACCTGTCTTCCAGCCGCCAAAGCTCACACACGGCACGATTGCCACGCCAAAACAGCACGGTCCTGAGGGACGGACCGGGCCTGCGGGCCACGGCCGCCACGACCTGTCTTCCAGCCGCCAAGGCTCACACAGGGCGCGCTCGCCACACCGAAACAGCAGGGCCCCGAGGGACGGACGGGGCCTGCGGGCCACGGCCCCCACTGCCTAACGTTGCTTTCTGAACCTACAAGAAAAGTAACTGTCTGATCTAAAACGGCGCCTCCGCCAAAGCCAAACAGCAGGGCCCTGAAGGACGGACCGGGCGTGCGGGCCACGGCCGCCACGACCTGTCTTCCAGCCGCCAAGGCTCAAACACGGCGCGCTCGCCACACCGAAACAGCAGGGCCCTGAGGGACGGACGGGGCCTGCGGGCCACGGCCCCCACTGCCTAACGTTGCTTTCTGAACCTACAAGAAAGCTAGCTGTCTGACCTGTCTTCCAGCCGCCAAAGCTCACACACGGCGCGATTGCCATGCCAAAACAGCAGGGTCTTGAGGGACGGACCGGGCCTGCGGGCCACGGCCGCCACGACCTGTCTTCCAGCCGCCAAGGCTCACACAGGGCGCGCTCGCCACACCGAAACAGAAGGGCCCTGAGGGACGGATGGGGCCTGCGGGCCACGGCCCCCACTGCCTAACGTCGCCCCCTGAACCCACAAGAAAAGCAGCCGTCTGACCTAAAACGGTGCCTCCGCCACAGCCAAACAGCAGGGCCCTGAAGGATGGACCGGGCCTGCAGGCCACCGCACTCAGTGCCTAACGTCGCTTTCTGCACCTACAAGAAAAGTAACTCTCTTTGCTGTCTTCCAGCCGCCAAGGCTCAAACACGGCGCGCTCGCCACACCGAAACAGCAAGGCCCTGAGGGACGGACCGGGCCTGCGGGCCACGGCCCCCACTGCCTAACGTTGCTTTCTGAACCTACAAGAAAGCTAGCTGCCTGACCTGTCTTCCAGCCGCCAAAGCTCACACACGGCGCGATTGCCACGCCAAAACAGCACGGTCCTGAGGGACGGACCGGGCCTGCGGGCCACGGCCGCCACGACCTGTCTTCCAGCCGCCAAGGCTCACACAGGGCGCGCTCGCCACACCGAAACAGAAGGGCCCTGAGGGACGGATGGGGCCTGCGGGCCACGGCCCCCACCTGCCTAACGTCGCCCCCTGAACCCACAAGAAAAGCAGCCGTCTGACCTAAAACGGCGCCTCCGCCACAGCCAAACAGCAGGGCCCTGAAGGATGTACCGGGCCTGCAGGCCACCGCACTCAGTGCCTAACGTCGCTTTCTGCACCTACAAGAAAAGTAACTCTCTTTGCTGTCTTCCAGCCGCCAAGGCTCAAACACGGCGCGCTCGCCACACCGAAACAGCAAGGCCCTGAGGGACGGACCGGGCCTGCGGGCCACGGCCCCCACTGCCTAACGTTGCTTTCTGAACCTACAAGAAAGCAAGCTGCCTGACCTGTCTTCCAGCCGCCAAAGCTCATACACGGCGCGATTGCCACACCAAAACAGCACGGTCCTGAGGGACGGACCGGGCCTGCGGGCCACGGCCGCCACGACCTGTCTTCCAGCCGCCAAGGCTCACACAGGGCGCGCTCGCCACACCGAAACAGCAGGGCCCCGAGGGACGGACGGGGCCTGCGGGCCACGGCCCCCACTGCCTAACGTTGCTTTCTGAACCTACAAGAAAAGTAGCTGTCTGACCTAAAACGGCGCCTCCGCCACAGCCAAACAGCAGGGCCCTGAAGGACGGACCGGGCGTGCGAGCCACGGCCGCCACGACCTGTCTTCCAGCCGCCAAGGCTCACACAGGGCGCGCTCGCCACACCGAAACAGCAGGGCCCTGAGGGACGGACGGGGCCTGCGGGCCACGGCCCCCACTGCCTAACGTTGCCTTCTGAATTGCCTAGAAACGAGCTCCAAACTTAGCTTGCCCGTGTCTTCTTGCAGCTGGCGTGCGTCCTGCACAGGTCCGGTCAAAGGACCCCTCCGCAGGGCCCAAACACCATGGCACTGAAGGACGGATCGGGCCCGCAGCCGGCAGCCCACGGTGCCTAACGTTGCTTTCTGAACTGCCTAGAAACTAGCTTCAAACCTTGCTTTTCCCTGCCTTCCTGCACTGCCAACTGCCACTTTGCCTGCGTCGTCTTGCAATTTAAACCTAGCTTTTCCCTGCGTTCCTGCACTGCCAACTGCCAACTTGCCTGCATTGTCTGACAGCTGGCTTTCGTGCGGCACAGCTCCGGTCAAGGGACTTCCTCGCAGGGCTAAAACACCATGGCAGTGAAGGACGGATTGGGCCCACGGCCCGTAGCCCAGAGTGCCAAACATTACTTTCTGTCGCTCGTTTCCTCTTGCTTCTGCATTCTTGCTTCTAACTTCTTGTTTCGTGCTTCTTTCGCTTGCTACGTTCGCTGAGACTGCCCCTCCTTTCTCGCTTCCTTTTTTGGGCTTCTTACTCTGCACCTGGCTTCCCTTTCTGTCCCCCCTCGCTTGCCCCTCACTTGCACTGCACAACACTTGTTGCTTGTAATCTCTTCTCTGACGCGCTCCCCCTGCTGTCGGCAGGGGTCGGCGGATTTTTGGCTATGAATCATTCGGGCTAAGTTGGCCAATTCAGACAAAAAAATAACAAGTGAGCGATGGCCGATGGCTCGTGCATGGTGGAAAGGCTTCAGAATGGCAGCGGAAAGTGGAGCGCATGGCATCAGCTGCCACAGCTGTCCGATGCTCATTTCGGGGCCCATCATCCAACAGGAAATTGGCTGCGGAGATCAACTGAGGTGGCAGAGAAGACGCACTCAGCTGCGCTCCTCGAAACGTGCTTTAGGTGTGAAGCCTGCTTTGCGGATGCTGATTTTTGCTGCTAACTTTACAGCTTTGGGAGTGCATTGAGTATGTCGTTGTTAGCCATCAGATTACGGTATAGTATATTACTATTATTATTATTACTACTATTTTTTAAAGATTATTTATTGAAGAATATTTATATAAGTTTAAGATATATGGGGGACTTTGTCACAGCCAGGTCATGGTCCAAAGCGATTGTGCAGGAGGACACGATTGAGGCACTAGACTAGAGCAACGCTGAGGGGATGAAGCCATGATGCCCAATGATGGTCATTTTTTAAATGTTGATTGATGGTTGATATTGATTGAGCTTGGTTGAAAATGAGTGAATGTGATATTGACATATATTGACTAATGACTAATTAATATGAATAAGGGAAAGAAAAGCCTCAGAATGTGTGCCAGCTGAAGGTATGTGTCCCCAGGATGGCAGTCCTCTGTTCCTGCAGGAACCATCTCTGCGCGACGTTCCTCAATTGAGAGTGCTGCTGGCAGAGTCCCTGCAATAGGAAAATCCTGGGATTGGGCATCCTAATTGCGCCTGAACAGCCCAAGGCATGGGGTGATAGCCATTGCATCATTTTTGTTTCTTGGGATGTCTTATGGATTTTCTGTTGCAGCTCAGCACGAAGCTGCAGCTCTCCACGATTTGTCCTTCCTTTTTCCGGTGCAAGGAAGTGGCACAATAGTCAGAATAGATTAGATATTTCAATGCCATTTTCATTTTGCAGATCTGCATTCCTGCAGGGCTGAAATTATGTCCAACATCTCCACAGGAAGTTTTTGAGATCTCTCCAGACCACAGCTGTTCAGCTGCTGGATGTAGAACTGCAATGCCACATAATCATAATGCCACAATGTGCAGCTGTTTTGATGAACCACAAGACTCGATGGCTTCGACGTCCTTGAGGTGTTTGTGGTTCCAAAATTAGAAGCCCTGGTGGTCCACTGGGGGCCGTGGCCAAATCGGTACAGTGATGAGCCACCTGCTTCCATGGTGCGACTTGTTGCGACCCTGTCGCGACTGAGATGCACAACCAGAGGAAAACTGGAGTTGGTGAATCATGATCTTTGCTTGGGATGTTATTTATGCCCTTGACCTTGGCATGAGATTCATGTGTGGGGTCCTGGGCAGGACTGCCGAGTTCGAAGTCTATATTCCCAACAGCAGGGCCTGTTGGGTTTCAATCTCTAGGGCTGGGGCTGGCTCGCGGGGACTTGCAGCCTTCAAAATCCGGAATGGAACCCTGGAACCCTGGAACCCTGGAACCCTGGAACCCTGGAACCCTGGAACCCTGGAACCCTGAAACCTTGGAACCCCGGAACCCTGGAACCCTGGAACCCCGGAACCCTGGAACCCTGAAATCCTGGAACCTTGGAACCCTGCGACCGTGGAACCCTGAAACCTTGGAACCTTGGCACCCTGGAACCCTCAAGGATTCTGGAACCCTGCAACCTTGGAACCCTGGAACCTTGGAACCCTGCAACCCTGCACACCTGGCACCCTGCTGGGATCCTGGAACCCTGAAACCCTGGAACCCTTGGAACCCTTGAAACCCTGGAAACCTTGGAACCCTGAAACCGTGGGACCCTGGTACCCTGGAACCCTGGAACCCTGAAACCTTGGAACCCCGGAACCCTGGAACCCTGGAACCCTGGAACTCCGGAACCCTGGAACCCTGAAACCTTGGAACCCTGCGACCGTGGAACCCTGAAACCTTGGCACCCAGGAACCCTCAAGGATTCTGGAACCCTGCTACCTTGGAACCCTGGAACCTTGGAACCCTGCAACCCTGCACACTTGGCACCCTGCTGGGATCCTGGAACCCTGAAACCCTGGAACCCTTGGAACCTTTGGAATCCTGGAAATCTTGGAATCCTGAAACCGTGGGACCCTGATACTTTGGAACCTTGGAATCCTTGAAACCCTAAAACTTCCAAACCCTAAACTCTATGCGCGCTGCGCGCGCTGCATGCAATAAAGTAAACCCTAAAACTTCCAAACCCTAAACCCTAATACGCGATGCGCGCGCTGTGTCCCAGAGAAGTAAACCCTAAAATTTCTAAACCCTAAACCATCGTGTTATGCAATTTCTAAACCCTAAAGTTTAACCCGCGGTATGCGCGCTGTATGCAATAAAATAAATCCTAAAACTTCCAAATCCTAAACCCTAATGCGCGCTGCGTGCCAGAGATAAACCCTAAAACCTTCAAACCCTAAACACTAGTGCGCGCTGCGCACGCTTTGTACAATAGAAATAAACCCTAAAATCTTTAAACCTGAAACTCTCGCGTCATAGAGGTAAACCCTAAAATTTCTAAACCCTAAACCCTAAACCCTAACGCGCGTTGCGCGCGCTGTGTGCCATAGAAGTACCCCTTAAAATCTCCAAACCCTAAACCATCGTGTTATGGAGGTTAAACCTAAAATTTCGAAACCCTAAAGTTCAACCCACGCTGTGTACGCTGCATGCAATAAAATAAACTATAAAACTTCCAAACCCTAAACCCTAATGCGCGCTGCGCGCACTGCATACCACACACATAAACCCTAAAACTTTCAAACTTTAAACCGTAACGCGTACTGCGCGCATAGCAAGCCATACAGGTAAACGGTTAAATTTTCAAACGCTGCGTGCCATAGAGGCAAAGCCTAAAACTTTCAAACGCTAAACCGTAAAGCAGGCTGCGCGCGCTGCGTGCCATAGAGTGCTCCTTGAAAGTGATTACATGTCATACTTTAGTGGCATCCTCCAAATTCATTAGTCAGCCTTTGTTAATCCAGGGCCCATTTTATACATGTCATTTTCTTGGTCGTGGCGCCATTTTAGGATCACACTGATGACCTAAGCTTTGGCCTTAACTATTATGCAGGCAAGCGATATCAGCACGCTATGGTATTGGAAGACACAGGGTTTGCCCGTAGACCAGCCAAAAAATCGATTTTCCACACTGAACAATTGGATTTAACACATTTAGAATAGGAGCTCCGCCTGATTCAGATTTCATCACTTAAAAGGTACCCGTGCCTGACTAGCCTTCATGACTTAAAGCGTAACCACACCCGACTTAAGGGAACCATGCCTGACTAGCCTTCATAATTAAGAGGTACCCACCCACGCCTGACTTAACAGAACCCATGCCTGACTAGCCTTCATAATTAAAAGGTACCCATACCCCTGAATTCAGGGAACCATGCCTGACTAGCCTTCACAATTAAAAGGTACCCACTGGAACCATGCCTGACTAGCCTTAATGACTTAAAAGGTAACTACACCTGACTTAATACTTGATTTACTGGTTTTGCCTGATTTTGGAAAAACGCAAGGCCGGAATTTGCAGGGCGCGGGCCGGAATTTGCCGGGCCCGGGCCGGAATTTGCCGGGCTGGGATTTTGGGGTCGTGCCTAAATAGGATTTTTGCAAAAATCATACATGACTGAAGGGAACCATGCCTAACTAAACATCATACCAATCATCCCAAAAGAATCCAATAATTCCAGCAAGTGATGCCTGACCAATCCCTGCGTCATAATAAACCGTCTGCCCCTCCCCACCCAATAATGAACACACGGAATATTTTTTTGTATTTAGTGGGTATTTAGTATGAGGGTGCGAAATTTCCCCCTTGATTAAAAAAACTAAATTGGAAAACATTTTCTTAATAACATCTAACTAAAATATTGCCAAAATTGGATTCCGAAGTTTCCCCCTGACATTAAATTGAAAACATTCGTTTTAAAAAATGAACTTTATATTTCAAAACCAATTGAATTCCTATTCAAAATCTAACTCAAATCTTGCCAAATTGGATTTCGAAGCTTCCCCTTATATTAAATTGAAAACCTTACTAATCCCCATTTCCTTTTACTAAATGTACCCTAAATACTAAAATATTACATTGATTCCTTTTACTAGGGTCCGCGTTAAATTTTGGGAAATTTCAGGCTGGCCAGTTTGACTTTTAATTGATACCTTTTCAAAAACAAATTAAACATGAAGGTCCCATTTCAGGATTTCACCACCAAAAAATAAAAACTAGTCAGCCCCGGTGATTTTTTAAACTAGGGTCTTTTAAGGTCGAAAAAATAAGTATTTTATATTACAATGTTTATATAATATTGGGGGAAAATTTAGAAATCCACTTTTTGGCATTTCCTGGCAATATTTTTGCTGGATGTCAAAAGGAAATCTAATCGATTCTTGAAATCGAAAAAACATAGTTTTTTTTATTAGTGTTTTTAATTTAATCTTAGGGGAAAATTTCGAAATCCAATTTTTAGCAATATCTTAATTATATGTTAAATAGAAAATTAATCGATTTTGAAACAGTTTTTTTAAAATATATTAGGGCTGGTAATTTAATATTAGAGGAAACATTTCGAAATCCGGTTTTTGTTTTATTTTTGTTACTATAATTTAAAAGGAAATCGAATCGATTTCAAAAAAGAAAAAATAATATTTTATATTAGGTTTTTTATGTAATATTAGGGGAAAATTTCAAAATTCAATTTTTGACCATATTCTAATTAGATTTCAAAAGGAAATCTAATGAATTTTGATATAGAAAAAATAATCTTTGATATGAGGATTTAATATGAGGGGAAAACTTCGAAATCGAATTTCTGGCAATATCTTAATTCGAATTTACAAGGAAATCTAATCGATTCTGAAATAGAACAAATTTAGTTTTTTATATTGGATTTTTTCATGCAAGATTAGGGGAAGCATCGAAATCCAATTTTTTAACATATTTTAATAATTGGATTTTAATTTGATATTAGGGGAAAGCTTCAAAATCATTTTTTTGTTTTTTTTTATTAGATTTCAAAAGGAAATCTAATCGATTTTGAAATAGGAAAAAAAATAAAATGATATTAGGGTTTAATATAAGGGAAAAGCTTCGACATCCAATTTTTTGGCCATATTTTATTTTGTATTTAAAAGGAAATCTAATCGATTTCGAAATAGAAAAACATATATAGTTTTTTATATTGGGGGTTTTTATTTGATATTAAGCTTCGGAATCCACTTGTTTGCCATATTTTAATTGGATTTAAAAAGAAAGAAATCTGATCGATTTTGAAATAGAAATATGTGTGTATATATATATATATGTGTTTTTTATCAGTATTAGGGGGAAGCTTCGTACCCTAATACTAAAGACCCCCCCAATACTAAAAACTCCTCCAGGTGTTTGTTATTTGGGTGGGTGGGTGAAGGGGCGACTGTTTAGCAACAGGGGGAAGGGATTAAACCGTTTTTTGTTTCTAATTTCAAAATCCATGAAAATAATCTTTAAATAGAATACTGCCAAGAATAGGATTTCGAAGCTTTCGCCTAGTATCAAATAAAACACCAACACCTGAATTAAAAAAACTAAAATTGACGATTTTAAAGGACGGACCCCAATAAAAGACACCCCGGTGTTGACTAGTTTTTTTATTCTTTGGGGGTGAAACCCTCACATGGTACCTTCATTTTTAAAATTGTTTCCTCAAGGGGATCAAAAAAAAATCAGATTAACCAATTTGACATTTCCC